TTTATTCTTGGGCTCAACAGGCTCCCCTCGCCCCTCGAGTCCTGTGCACTCCAAACACCGCACCTCAGGCCTGAGGCTTCAAACCCAGACTCACATTCAACCAGACAAGCACCTACCCAGCCTCCGTTATCCTGGATCCAGGTGTGCAGGTGCCGGTTCAGGTACTCAGTCATCCACAGGGCGATGTTGTCCACCAGGGGCGACATCTCCCGGTTGACGCTCTCCACACACATGACCCCACCGAACTCAAAGAAGGCCACAATCCTCCCCCAGTTCACCCCATCCCTGAAGAGCTCCTCCACCACCGTGGCAAAGCGTCCCCTCGCGGTGAAGGGCGTCAGGTGCAGCTGGCTGGACATCTCGGCGAAGTCGCGGCGGTAGCGCCGGGAGAAGTCATCGCCGGCCTGGCGGAGGGTCAGGTGGACCACAGGTGGCACCGGGCTGAGCGCAGGCCCCGCGACGGCGGCGGCCATCGGGGGCGGCGACGGCGAGGTCCTGGCTGCCGGGTCCCCAGGCGTGGCGGGCGGGGGCGTGCGCCCGGGTTGGGAGGAGAAGATGCCCGGCGCGGGGGCGGCCCCCGGGGACGCAGCGCCCGCGTCCCCCGCGTCCCATTCGTAGCCCCTCTGCGCCAGCTTATAGTGGATGTACTTCATCACTATCTCCCGGTTATCATACCCTGTTCTCCCGGCGTGCGCCATCCTTCACCGAGAAAAGCGGCCGGGCAGCGGCAGCACCTCTCTTCCCGCTCCCACCCCACGGCCCCGAAAGAAAAAAAGAATAGTTATAATCCAGCTATTTTATTGGATGTGCTTTGCATTCTTGGATGAGGGGGTGTCTTCAGTCACGCGGAACACTTGATTCTGGTGTTTCCCCTTGGCATGAGATGTAGGAAATTTTTATTCAAATTCCTTTCGGATCTTTATTTCATGAGGCACATTATTAATAAGCACTGTTATTATCAGTCTACTTCCTCCGTGCTGCTGAAAGGTTAAAAAAAAAAACTAAGTCAAAATCAGGTGCAGTTTTTATACACTGGATGAAAGCAAGACATACACAAATTACACGGCTGGAAAGAGAGTAAACTGCGCGGCGACTTACTCGAATGCACTTAAAGTTGACATTTCAAATGTTTCCATTGAAAGTTACATTAAACCAATTTCCTGTGCAAAGAACTTACTTGTAATTTTTAGGGACAGCATGCTCCTCTGTCAAGTTTCCTTGTTTTGTAAAACCGAGCAAATGCGTAAGGCGACGATCCCATCAATCCGCACAACTCTCCGGTTAGAGTTGCCTCCAAACTTCCAAATGAATCAATCAGAACTTGGAGGGGGGCGGGAGTGTAAAAATTAGAAGGATTTCCAGATTGATGGCCAGTCTTCTGCTTCAGAGAAATGTCAGTCCGTAGGAATCCCAACTGGAGATCTCAAGAGCACGAAAAAAAAAAAAAAAGGCAGCGGCGGCGACAGACGAATTACGGCGTTCAGTCCGGTATTTGCAGAGGTGCCGCGATTTCCCCTCTCTGGGCAATTCACACACGCACAGGCGCGCGCGGGCACGGACATGGATCTGTCCACGGGAGAGAGGCAGAGGAAGGGGCGATGGGCGAGCCGGTCGGCGCGGGAACCCTCTTCTGGTTACACTCCGAACCGCAAA